ACAGACACACAGACACACAGACACACAGACACACAGACAGTATCATCCTGAGACAATGACCAAACTCTGTTTATTTAATACTGAGATACTGAAATAATAATAATGAAGTCATGTGTCAGTGAAATGTGTTTGCTAATAATTTGTCAGATTCATGTTCAAGTGTATTTTCACACATATTCTCATTAAAAAAAAAGATCTTCAAACTGTCAGTTTTTACATTTCTTATGTTTTAATGCTGAAACCTGACGACACAGTGAATCTGAAACTGAACGAAGGATTTCTGGGGTTAAACTGTCCCAGACCAACAGTTAGTCGTTATCAGTCAGCTTCCTGTTTGAAGAACCGCCAAAATAAGTTCCTCCTAACCACAGAGCAAACACTGCGCTCACTTCCTGTTTCACAATAAAAGAACCTGTGTTGTAGTGTTCTGTGATTTGAAATGAAACGGACGAACTGTTGGGGTGAGACAGCCAGACTGAGGTGAGACAGCCAGACTGAGGTGAGACAGCCAGACTGAGGTGAGACAGTGTGTGTTTACAGGACGTGGTGTTCTCAGTCTGTGTGTTTAGTGTTGAAACAGTGAACAGGAAGTAGACAGTTGGAGCAGCGTCATCGTGTCACAGATTGATTTCTCACAGTGTCCACATGAGACGAGGTCAAAGGTCACTGAGGGACATTTTATCTTCAGCTAAAACTAAATTGAAAAAACAACACTAAACTAAATTCAAAATTACAATAAAAACTAAACAAAATTAACCCAGTCAAACTAAATTAAACTGAACTGAACCAAAAACTAAACATAAAACTAAACTAAACTAAACTTGAACCTGAACTAAACTTGAACCTGAACTAAACTAAACTAAACTAGAACCTGAACTAAACTAAACTAAACTTGAACCGGAACTAAAACAAAAAGTAAACCAGATTAAGTTAACTAGATTAAACTAATTTAATTTAAAAACTAAATTAACTTATTTAGACTCAACATTTATCTCACCACAGGGAAGTTTTCCGAGTCTCGTCACCGTGTGAATTCTTCGACCAACCAGCTTCACGATTTTCCCATCAGCTGTTCCAGTGAACAAAACGTCTGCGGACAGAAAAGACAAACACGTGTCAGCTCTCAGTCTTCTTCATCATCTTCATCGTCCAGCTGTGACAGGAGGTCAAACTAAACTACGCTGACCTCCGATGTTGGCGATGGACTCGGGTCCGATGATCTGGTCCTCGAACAGTCTCTGGGCCTCTCGGAGCTTCAGGTTCGGCTCCCAGCAGCCCTTCATCAGTGGAGGCTCCTTCAGACTGCAGTAACACAAAACAACCAGCAGGAGGCGTTTCAATATATACACCACTTTACGACTTTAAGGTGTTAGCGCCGCTGTTAGAGATACAAAAATCTGAATTCATTCATTTTTAATCCTATGAGAAACAAGTCAAATTTTTTTGTCTTTATTCACTGAGTATGATGAGTTGTTTCTATATATAAAAAAAATAATCAAAATATCAGAACTTTATTATGGAAAATCTTTTTATCAAATTTACGGCTTCATTCTAAAAAACAACTAAATATTGTTTCTGGAAATATTACACACACATTTTTTAAAATACTTTCTCTATAAAATAATGCAACTTTATTTTCAAAATATTATGATTTTATACTTAAAATAGGACACATTTAAAAAAAAATTATACATATATATATATAGATATGTGCAACTTTATTCTCAAATGTTACTATTACAACTTTATTGTTAAAAAAACAACTTTTTTCCCCTAATATTCTATTCTTCTTAAAATATAACATTTTACAAAAAAGTTTTAGAAATAATGTGATTTTATTTTTTAAATATTACATATTTTAAATAATATAATAATACTAAAACTTAAATAATAATATTACATATTATTTTCAAAATATGTTTATATTTTATATATATATATT